TATAATACTGATGAACGTTCAAAACAAAGCACTTTGGCAACTTACCACATACGTTTTGAAATGCTTAATAAGCACCGTAACTTTCATGATATCATTTCTCGTTCATAATCGGTTGTTTCCGTGAACGGCCGACTGTTGTGTGACGGCAAATGCCGCGGCCGCAAGGCATTGTGGGGCAGAATTTGCTCCTTTCGGTTAGGGAGGTCCAGTGGTTCCTAAGCTAAAGGAGGTTATAAAGGAAGTTTGAAACCTCCTTTCCTTTTAATTTAGAGAATTCGAACGGCACTTATCATGGCTGCCACTGAGGGACTTCCGGGTCATTTCACTCCGTTAGGAAGGTTCCTAAGCTAAATGGACTATTCGACCGCAACCATGTCCGACTATCACAAGTAGAATCATAATGATAAATACGCCGGTAAAATGTGCTTGTAGAAAACGGCTTATGCCACAATAGGATAGCAACAAGTAGTCAAGATAGTCAGATTAGCTTCGGTTGCTATGCTAACATCACCCATTTTCAGAGGTGGGAGTAAGTCCTACATGTGCAAGTCATGAGCAAGTCTCAAGTCTTGACCTACAAGTATCAAGCAAGTCCCAAGTCACTGTGGTGAGAGTCAAGCAAGTCAAGTCAAGTCATTGCTCAGGTCAAGTCAAGTCAAGTCAAGTCATTGCTCAGGTCAAGTCAAGTCAAGTCAAGTCAAGTCAAGTCATACGAAATTCTGATGAATAAGCCCAGTTTCCGCATTTAAATCAGTTAAAAGACAGTGGTTATGAAAATGGATTCAACCCACACTATGATCTTCATTACATACACAGTTAATCATTTGAAATCTAATTTAGACCGATGACAATCATATTAGATTCATATTAACCCTAGAACTGCAGACAATATAGCTAGGACTCAATCAAAAAGTCTGTTCAAAAAGGCAGAATTCCAGGTAAGAAAATCATATATGGCATTTGCCATTACACATATTTAATTTAAATGTCTGTTAACACTAGAACCGCCAACAGCGTCAGCTCCTACATAGATATCATTTTCAAATCATTTAATTTGTTCCTCTTCATCATTTCCTTATAAACTAAGTAGGACGATTTAAAACTCAGTTAATTGGGTTAATTTAGAAATTGCTTCAGTTTATCATCATAACAGATCAAAAAGTTCAGATTCATTTTACAATAAATCAAGGAATGATGCACTTCTACAAACAAAAACAACATAATTAAAACATTTAAACAAACTACTAAAAGTAGATGAACTACATGATTCAACAGTTTACAGTAACTTCTGATCTTTATGCTGCAGACCCTGCATACCGCTGTTCTCTTCTTATTAGCGTCATCGACAACATAATCCTTTAATCGAAACTTGACTATTTTTGGAGTAACGCTAGCCGCTGCTATGTTAACTGACACTCCTGCCTACTAGTGGGTTGCCAGGTTTGCGCGCATGGCGCTATAATCACCCAATCACATTTCGAAAAAACTAAACGTAATATCTCAAAACAAAAACAAACGCAAATATTTAATTTTAAAAAGTCAAGTCCTTTCAAGTCATCTGTCTCAAGCTTAAGTCAAGTCTCAAGGCACGAATACCAAGTCAAAGTCAAGTCAAGCCTTTTATCAATGTTAGTCAAGCAAGTCCAAAAATACGCGACTCGTCATGTGACTCGAGTCCCCACCTCTGCCCATTTTATACCAGAGAAACTTTCATAACAGTGTTGTGATGCCAAACAGCGTCAATTAATACTGAAACACATTCACTTATGTGGATGGGGGATATTTACCAGCTGCTTGTGTGACAGTCAGACAGTGAATACTTCCCAGCGGCCGCTCCCGTGAGTTAACGGTAGACTAAACTCTGCCGTGAGTTAACAGGAGACTAAACTCCGGTGGACGAGCTGCACTGCAGCAGTCGGTAAATGCCGCTGAACCACATTAATAAACAATGAACCATGGCACTCTGGAGAAAAGTACAACGGTTGAGAAGTAGTTATTTAATTTAATCTGGTTTCTTATGATTAAAAGAAACATGATCATCGACCTGACGCAGTCCTTCATTGTTGTTGTTGTTGTGAGCGGCGTTTGGGAGAAACGTAAACCGACGTAAACGGTGACGTCATGACGCAGCAGTGGCTGCACCAGTCGGGCTCTGAGCAAGCCCCCAGGAAGTGCACCGGACTCTGAGGAAAATATTCGTTGTGTCCAAACGGCGGTACTACAATTTCCGTATCAGTCCGTGACGTCACTGGGCCCAGAAATACTTTTTCCCATTGACTAACATTGGGAAAGAGACGTTTGTAAATCAGCGGATACTTTTTTTAAACTAAAACTACTCGGTATGAACACTTGTATAGCCCTTATTAGATTCATACGGTCCTTAAAGTTGTAAAATGCAGACACAAGCGTAAAAGCCGAATCTAGATTTATTTTCTCTCCCCATTCATTCTAGTGAGCCGAGAGTGGGGGGGCGGGGCTTAAGGGGCGCATGCTCTATGAGCGCACATACGGGTACTTCTGCTCTGACAGCCAGGCATGACGGATAATCTGTGACGTATTGCTCTCAAAAATATCAGGCCATTTTGTCCTCATGCGCCAATGAGCAGCTCTCATCGGAAAGAACGAGACCCCGCCTCCGACCCTGTATCCAGTTCTTATTATACATCCATGGCTCTGAGCGGTGGAAACACAAGTGGTGCTACAGAGAAGAACCAGTTAAGCTCCAGAAAAGCACAAGAACGGATCTTGAACCGGAACCGGTTTGGTGGAAAAGGAGCATAAATCAGAGATTTCCAGTTACCCTGTCTAGCCTAATAATTTGCCTTCTGCTGCGTCCTCTTGATTCTACCTGTAGGGCCGGAACTGGCGATGTTTTTAAAGCATACTCTCACTGCCTGTGCCTCACATCTACTTTTTTCTCAGAGAGCTTGCTTCAGATCCAAATGCTTTGCTGCCTAAATCCAACACAGATCTGATCAAGACCTCATTCTTTCTTTCAGCGCTGAGCTATCACATGTATTACTTAAGCTCTTTGGAGCTTATTTCCTGACATGGTCCACCCATATCTGTAAATCAAAAAATAACTTTCAGAAATGTCATGGTTCCATGATCCCTTTCCAATTATTTTCCAAAAGTCTTGAGCCTCATCCCTATGTTCTTATCCTAGTAAAACGAAAAGGTAGTTTTATTTTTTAAAAGGCCAATAGTTTGCCATCACTTCCTGGTGCATTTGGTAGGAGGTCATTGATCATAATGGTGGACAGTACATATCTTTATTTGTTACTGCCAGCTTTTAACCACTGTAATAGTAACACTTAGCAGAAATGTGTCACGTGAGCTTGTAACTGCTGATAGACATTAGCATGACACAGACAGCAGTATCCTGCATGGACCTGACATTCTGCACTTCAGGACCACAGTCCTGCTCTGCCGTGGTGTCACGCTATAACTGAGTCAAAGGTCTGGGGCCTCATTTATAACGCCTTGCGTAGGATTGACGTGAGAAGGTTGCTTACGTAGTACAAAGCAAAAAAATAGGTACAGAAATGTTCCGACATTTTCCGATTCACAAAACATTGCGTACCGGCGAGGGAAGTGCGTACCGGCACTTCCTGCGCCTGTTTCCCTATATAACTCACAATCGACTCGAAATGCGGCGCAGCTTTTGCAGGCTTCACGTAACGCCCATATTTGCCTATAAATAGTCAAAGAAACGCCCATTCATTCATTCATTTTGACTGACTGAAGAAGATCGCAGGAAATTACGACCGAACAGCTAAAAAAGACATCTCACACCGTGTCAGATTTGGGTTATTGTGGGGAGGTCGAGATAAATCATATTGTTTGGTGGATGCAGTTTGAACCAGAGTAGCAGCATGGAGGTCGGATCGTCACCAAAATAAATAAATAAGTGGTCCGAAAAAAGTTAATGACAAAAAAAATACACATAGCCTTCCTCAGGCAGTGTGTTTGTACCGGGGACAGGAGACACCCCCTTGATGAGAAACTAAGAAATGATCGGGGAATCCCTCCGGAGTGGAGTCATGACGACTGGATCTGAATTATGTTGTTGTATTTGGTGGTTTGTGTTCCAGCTGTCGATCAGCAACTATATATCCATAATCCACCAGTTAAAGGAAATACAACTAATGGGTTGTGTTATATTAGCTGTACAATTTACCACATATGGTGTTCTTAGTTTCCATACCTCCTGTGTTTTACGAGCGACTTATCAAGTCTTGGCAAACGGCATAAAACACGATTAAACGTGATAGTATATAAAACCATGCTCGAATCTACAACCTATAGAAATGCAAAACGGCGTCAGTTTAGACGTAATTCTGTCCTGCTTACCGCATCATTTATGAGAAAACATTTCATAACATTAACACAACATATTCGAGGTGGTTTTAAATAACATCCGTATTTATTTATTTCTCCAAGTTTTTGTGTGCACTGAGGAGTCTCAAACAGGCGTTTGTTTAATCGTTTAAGATTGGCTTTAATCAATGTTTGAAAATGAATTCTTCATATTTGATAAATGAGAGGTAACATTTTATTTATTTCCACATATTTCTCTCCATTCTTCCTTCTGCCAACGGTGTTGCAGTTTCTCGTCTCTCCCGTTTGTGTGCTTAGTGCGTACGCATGGGTTAGAGTTTGCGTGGAGGACAGCACATTTTCCCGTCAAGTTAGTATTTTATAAATCGCAAACATTGCGTAGAAACTGGCGTACGCCATTTTTTGAGCGTATATCCCTTTATAAATGAGGCCCCTGATCATGTGTCAGAGAGCTGGGCTTTACTCTGAGGTTACTCAAGCTGCAGTTTGGGCCTCTCTATTAGGAAAGGCAATACCTCCAATATTCCATTCAACCCTCTTTTTAAGTTAATGTGGAAATGTTAGAGACACACTAAAGCAGAATAAATTGTTTTATTTTTATATCTGAATATATTAACAAAGTATGGACTAACATGTCTCTGTTTTTAATGTCTCTGCAGGTAAATTCCAAATCATGATCCAGAAAATGTAGCTACTAGCTGATGCCACTCTCACTCTTCTGCCTTCATACATATCCCTGATAATTTGTCATAAAAAGGGAAATGCTACCCATCATCATCATCATCATCATCAATTATGTTCTCCTCTGCTTTAGCTAACAGTTACAATTACAACGTTTTTGTCTAGACGTTCAGTCTTAGAAGGGATGTGTTTGTTGCTGATGATGATTATTTGTGTTTTACTAGTTATGTTATTGAGATGACGGTAGTGGAATTGCTTTACGCCCTCTTCATTTGATGCAAAGTAAACCGTTAAATATTTCTAAAATGATCAAAAGGTCTGTCGGACATTATCATAAAAAAATACGCATGCATATTGTCCCATGCCTTTAGTTAGCTCTAATTATAAACCTATTTTAAACCATTCATAGAAAGAAACAACAAAAACCCAACAATATATAGACAAAGATGATGATGATGATGATGATTATTTGAAAATGGGGGCCAAACTGAGCAGACAACACAAATGTATGTCTTTACAGTTAAATGTTAAACAAAACAAGTGTCCCGATGAAGGCTCAGAGACAAGACAGAGTTTGGAGATCTCTATCCATTACATGATTTCATAAACATGAGTAAAAGAATGAATAAAGACGTTAGCCTGTGATTACAGTGTTCCTCAGAGGAAAGACACTTGTACAAAGTTTTTATTTTTATTGAAGTTGTTTGATTTAAGGTCGAATCGGTTGCAATAAATTCTACAGCGATATGTTTCACTGTTTATATTCCAGCATACATTTTGGATCAAAAAACAGAATCATGGTAAATAATTAGAAATGTTTTCCTGACTGAAAATTCACATGAATGATCTCTGAAGTTAAAACTTGAAAAGAAATGGGACCATCCCAGCAGCACCTGAATGCACCATTGTTCTTCCGTCATGATCTGTCATTATGAAGTGGTGCACCCTGTCCAGCTTCACCCCATCATAGTGTCTGTTTAAAGCTATCACACCACTGAAGGCAATGACAAGCTAATGAAAATAAATGATCTGTGAATACAGTCATCTGTGTGTTGTTCTCTCAAAGTGATTGACAGGGTTGGGAGGGTTACTTAACATTTTTTATCCATTACAATGAATAGTTAACTGTAAAAAAAAAAAAAGTGTAATCTGTAGCGCAATCTGAGTATCACAATATAAGTAATGTCACCTGAATACTTTCTGTTACTTTTGGAGGTGGCATCGCCCCCACCCCCCCCCCCTGATGATTCGCCTGCATTTGTTCTTGTGTTAAACCCGTTGTAATTGTATTCAACCCAACTGCTCCTTAGATGAAAATCACTTGTATAACTCACCCTGCAACTTGACATTTAAACTTATTGTGAGTGGAAAATAATGAAGACACCTCTAGACACTGCTAGCAACATCTTTTAAGACAGGAGCATTGATGGTTCCGGGGGCAGGACACCAGGCTTATGGAAATGTATTTGAAAAAGTTTTTGAGTGGAAATATATTGCAATCTCTAATCTTTCTACGTGCCCCCTGCAATCACCTCAAGTGCCTAGGTCCCCTTACCCCCGTTCCTGTTGGGAACCACTGTTCAAGGAAGTTGGTGGTCTGGGGGAACATTGTTTGACGTCAAACACTTATGGAATAACAACGCCTGCAGTTTATTGTGTCCCTGTAGCCTCAATTCAATCAGGATCAAATCAAGTTTTATTTATAAAGCACATTTAAAAGCGATTTTTGGTCGAGCCAAAGTGCTGTACACATTACTACAATCACAATAAAAGAATCATTTACAACAGAAATATAAAAAACAAAAACACAGGGAATAGTCAGGTGCAGTGGCGGCTGGTGGAATTTTTTTTAGGTGGGGCTGTTGACATAGTGACCAAACCGAAAAAGGGGTCTGGGGGGATGCTCCCCCCGAATTTATTTTGAGAAATTACCCCTTAAAGGGCCCATGTCATGGCCATTTCCACTGATCATAATTACATTGTTGAGGTATACTAAAATAGATTTATACTGTGCAATTTTCCAAACTCACATTGGTTTCGCATACAGCATCTCTGTCAAGCATGTGTATTCAGCAGTATTCACTTTCTCCACTAATGCCGCGTTTCCACTACAGCGCGCAGCCCGGTTTAAGAGGGCTGTGACGTCAGCGGCCCGTTTGTGGTTGCGTTTCCACTTGGCCTAGTACCGGCCGGCTGGTCCTAATTCTCAGTTTTTCTGGCCTCATAAAATCGTGGGGCCAGGGCCAGAGGCAACCGGGCTGTGTTTGTGACGTCAACGCTCTCGGCTGCTGATTGGTCGGAGAGAATCGTCACAATCTGCGCGCGAGATAATCCATTTTTACAAACAGCATTTTTGTTAACGGAGGAGCTACAACAATGGCAAAGAAAAGCACACCATGGTCGGTCGAGGAAGTGACGACGTCCATTATATTGCAGATGATAAGGTCCAGCGGGTGCTCGACGGGACAACTCGCAATATCAAAGTCTTTCAGGAGGTCTCTACACAGACACTGGACTCTCCAACGGCGTTACTGGAGTCTGCATGGTACGTTTTTGCTAACGCTGTGTTATTTGCTTGAAAGCTTTGTGTCCCTGCTTTGTGTCCCTGCTTTGTGTCCCTATCTGTTTTAAAGCTCACTTCTAACAAATAAGTCTATTTTATCCTTACATTTATGTTCGACAACCCCGATGGAGCCCCGAAGGCTAGCTAGGCAGATAGCATTAGCGAGAGCTATTGTTTGCTAACACCATATGTGCCATTGTTTACGTTCAGTTTGTCTTTTCTATAGTTGTTGTTGCTATTTATAGTATTGTGCTGCAGTAGTTTGTGGAATTTACAAGTCATGTTTCTGTTCTAGATGATTACATTGGGACTAGCGAGGAGGAACAGCGAGGAGGACACAACGTCCTCTGCATCAACAGCACAAACCGAGGAGGAGAGGATCTGGCCCTGCAGGAACGGCAACTGGCCCAGCAGAATCAATGCCATGTCTTATCTTATTGCTTGTTGATAAATAATTGCACCCACCAGCGATCGCACAGAAAGATGGCATCATCTAGGCGTCCCTCTGCAGTCAGAAATATCATAAACACCATCGTCCACAAAGCACTGTACAGGGGTTTATGGATTTAAGAGAATACTTATCACAGTGAAACCTTTATCATCTGTTGCAATTAAAGCAAATAAGAGAATAAATACTTGGTTAAATAATACATTTTAACTCTTTAGCAGGACAACTCTGCATACTGTTTGAAATTGAGTTTGCTAGCTTGAGGTCCTCCTCTAAAACATAACATTACATAATGGTATTAAGAATACATGATAAATACATGTAGAAAAATTACTCAATTGTAATACCCTCGTTGTGCTAGACTCAAACACATTGCTTATATATTTCAAAGAGAAGAGAACAAAAGAAAACACCTATACAAAGAGAGCGGTGCACAGCGCTTAATATTTACTTGCACTATATTTCTGTTGATCTGGGTTATTGTGTTGCACTGTTGGAGGAGCCTGTGACCTAAGATGTTCATTGTCATAACTACACTAGCTATGTTCGTATGACAAAATAAAAAACCTTGAACCTTGAGGCTGTGTCTTTCAGACAAACCATCATAATCATATTATTTTATGCTGTGGATACTTTAGCCTCCATCCATGTTAACAATTTTTTACACTTGCATTTATGAATATAGTTCTGTTGTGTTTTACACTTTTGTATTTATGTTTATAGTTTGCTTTGATATTTGCTTAATTTATTAGATTATTATTATGGGGGCAGTACTGGTGCTTGAAATTCAAATATTTACTAAATAGTCAATTCTGATAACATTTTTTTGGTTTAAATAATTTGACAAACACATGTATGTGAAAAAGAAAAGATGTATTTATGTTCAATACAATACAATGAATATTTAGGTATTACACGTAGGTTTTCCTCAGGCATCCTGAAGTTCTCCACCCACTGAGTGTGTGAAAGATGGAACAATCACATTCCACCACTCGGTAGCTCGGTCGGTAACTTCTGAAATACACAAACAAAAGCATACATATTTTAATACGTAAAAGTGGTAGCTACAATTAATTAAATACTTGAAATACTTTGGTCGTATAGGGAGAGTGAGCCTAAACACATTGCTAGTTAGCGAACGTTAGCTTACCAAGTAGCATTGTAGTTAGTAGTGATTCGAGTCGTCCTGTAGTCTCTGCGGCGTAGGAGGACTGCCCGAACTCTCGCGTCAGCTTCTTCTATACCTCGTCTTGCTATACGTCGCCTCTTTCGAAACAACTCTTGTCTATTTCTTGTGATAATAAACCACACAGCAAAAAACAAGCAAACGATCGCTTTCACATCTCCATTGTTGTGTCGCATTGAAGATGACGTCACGGCAGTTTTAAGCAGCGTCGCTCCGCCTACACTGTTACTATAGATACTGACCCGGTTCCTAAACTGTAATGGAAACGCGCCACAAATGCCGCGTTTCCACTACACAGCCTCGCTCGGCCCCGCTCGGCCTCCTTTGGCCGCGCCCGGCCTCGTTAGGACCAGCTCACTTTGTGAGCTGGTCCTAACGAGGCCGGGCGCGGCCAAAGGAGGCCGAGCGGGGCCGAGCGAGGCTGTGTAGTGGAAACGCGGCATAAACGACTCGTTGGAGCTCTTGCCCCCCCCTCCCTGTGAGCCTAGTGTGCTCCGATTGGTCAGCTCGGCCACTCGTTCTGATTAGTCAACCACCAGAGAGGCTGCGCCCATGTCAGTGCTTTTCCCGGCTGCTCTCAGCGTAACATCAGTCTTATCATGGCGTCGGTACAGCGGTATATTTTATATACATATATATTTTTAACTGTTGTTATAGAAGAGGGTGACGGCCCCAGGGCCTTTGTCTTACGATGGGGTGGAGCTGAAGAGGCTAATCAGCACGATCACGGACACCTCCGGACACAGTCTCTCTCCAAAGCGGCTGCAGGAAGACTAACTCTGCGATCCTCTCAACCACCTGTCTCTGCATTTACCACAATAAATGTGCCGTGGTTTTGTAAACTCGTGTATGTCTCCTTGTCTTTCCGTTGTGGCCTACGAGCTACTCTCATAACAAAGAGTAAGTTATTTTTACCCGTTATAAACTACTACTGTTTGATGAGAAATCAAATCATGGTTTGCTATATATGAATTCAGGGAAGAAAGGATAGGCCTACTAAGTATTTCCATTAAACTTTATTTTTAGAAATGTACAAAATGAACATAAATATACATATATACACGGTATATCATCCATTCCTCCTCCTCGCATCTTGCCTGCGCACAGTCGGTGCGGTGCCTTTTAGCACCCTCAGTAGTAGTAGAATCCCTTCCCCGTCATGGATTGTCCGCCAGGATCTGGCTGGACGAAATCAAATGCAAATCATAAAATATTAGAGAAACTTAGTTGTTTTAGACTCGTTAGTAGTAGTTGTGTAATGAACAGCTTGCCTGCTAATATGCTAACCTAGCTTTGTTTACCTTGGTAGCTAACACGATATGAACGTTAGCTTGGAGGAAAGGCAACTATAATGCAGTGTAATAAAACTACTATGAACAAAAGCTAGTGGTTCATATTAGGCTAGCAATAACGTGTTTATAATTGCAATCGTATACGGGTATTCTGCTACGTTCGGTCATACAATGTAACTTGCATGAATACATTGTTTTGCGCTAGCATACAGCTAGCCTCGTTAGCTACATGCAGTATATGTACGGTCACAATGTACGGTAAATCACAGTACAGTATACTGTATGAGTATTCCGTGTGTGTGACTGCAGACATTCTCCTGCCATGACAAACATGTAAGGCCATCTGCTGACATTGTAGTTGATATATTTAAACACTAGCAACGTAGCATCACAAAAATGTTTTTCTGACCAAAACTAGCTCTAGCTCCGTGTGTTAGATCGCTACGCCAGCTATAATGTAATTACGTTTCGCGACTGACCGGCAAATCACCCGGAGTATACTGTCAATAGGTATTTTGTGTGTGAATGCAGACATTCTCCTGCTATGAGATACAT